CTTCACTTGCAGAGTACAGCATCACAGAAAGCAGGATTCAAAGAGCCCCCCAGATGTTCTGTTGGCCCCTCCTTTGCCTGGAGAAAGGATAAACTGTACTTACTTCATTCCCAACAGATGCCTGTCGAACCCGTTCATAAAACTCTAATGAGCGAGATCCCACAGTCTCCCTGGAAAATCCATGGCAGTGCTTCATGCTATTAATCCTTCCTTTTCTCTTCCCCCTGCCCAAGTAGCCTAACTCTCCCCACATTGTTCATGTTATGTGATGATCTGGAATGCAATTCTGTTTGCTTTTAGAAAACTGCATGAGCAACTTGGCTGTGGATGACGTTCAGTTCCCTTGGCAGTCTCACACTCGAATCCTGCACTAGGAAATTCTTGCCAGTTCTTTGTGATTTTCGTGTCTGTCTCATGATACTCGGTGTTTTTCCTGAAGCTGCAGTTACTGAGCCACAGATCTTCACTTTTATTACAGAAGGAAAAAAAGAATCAAATGTCCCTGCTCAGGAAAATGCTTGCAAAGACTTATTAAAAAAAAAACCAAAGGAGTTGTCAACCAGTGTTTTCAAGTCTGCTTTGTAAATTTGTAGGCTTTTTAAATATTTGGGCTTCAAAGTATTAGAGATTTTGATCCCAAAAGTGCATGAAGGTCAGGCAACTTGTCTGGGTCTGAGCAAGCACAGCACAATCAGCCCAGAGAAGTGAATTCTAAACCTTGGTAGTCTAAAAATGCAAAAATATTTTTCTGTTGCTTTCAAAATCAGCATAGAGTTGAATACTACACTGCCCTGTAGAGCCCAAGGTGAACTGTACTTTATGAAACCGTGGTATTTGCAGTCACAGCATCATACTAATACCAAACCGTGCTAAGGAGTGTAGTGTTTGCCTTGAAAGAATTGAAGGTTGAAGTGGTTCAGAAAGTTTGGTAAACAGGGAACTGCATTCCTATAAAAAGGAAAATACTGAGATAAAGTGTTCAGATGGGGCAGCTCATTTTCAGGAGGAATGTGGGAGGGATATTCATTCCTGCTTTGTCACATTTACATATTTATTTTTCAAAATGAGCGTTACTTCATTTTCGTATTACTTTTTTCACATAGATGTTACTTGTTATGACAAATAAAGTAACCTCATACATGTAACCAATACTAGGTTATAAGGATCTGTGTCTTAAAAAAATGCTTAGGATTTTATAGATCTGCAGTCAAGTGGAGTGACTTGTTTCAGAAGAGTTTTACAAAGTTCTTCAGAAAATAGCATTAAAGAAGGGATTGAGGGGGAGAGAAATGCCAACTGTCCCTCAGTTTGTATGTTATTAACACATACCAGATGTCTCTCTTACAGGATAGATTACGAGTTGTGACTGAATGAATTTTAGTAAAAAACCTGTAACTTTTCAAGTCAGTCAAATATTAAATGCTCTGAGTATTTTTTTCTCTGTATCGCTTGTAAGTTTGCTACGATGTTCAAAATAGGTTTGGGTTTTTTCTCCTCCTCTTGCCCCACACCAAAATCCATCTGGTGTTTGTTGGCTTTCTGCAGATGATGGCTGGACTTAGTGGCTTTGACCCTGGTTCATTTTGATTAAGCTTGTTAGTATTTTATGGTTTTAGTATCTGTTTTACAACATTTTCATTACTGTGTATTTTATTAAGGTTCAAGTGGTTTGTATTTTTATGGTTGCATCTGGTCTGCATAAACTCTGCTCCAGTTTAAAAAGCTGCTTGTCTCCATCCTGGGCATGGGGAATTCTGAGGAATAGTAGGATGTGTGTGTGTCAGTCAAAGGTTGGCACCTAGAAAACTCTTGCTTCTGACTAGCTAATTTGACTTTGGGCAGCAATAATCTTACTGCCCAAAATATGGAAAAGGCTGTCTGTCTGTCTTCATGCCTTTGTGTTTGGTTACACGTGGATGTTTCATATTTCCACACTTCAGTATTTTGCAATGTTTGCCTTGAAAACAAGAGCAGTTATTCTTGAGAGGTGGTTCAGGATGCCATTGGGGCAAGCTACAGGATCCAAACACACTGCTGGATCCTTACATTTTTTAGTCAGTGTTTAAGAAGAAATCCTGCCTATATCAGAGTCAAGGAATCTTGAGTTTAATTACCCATTAAGTTGATAAGTTGTTTTTCTCTTGATAATCATACAAGTTGCTGATTTGCTTTGGCGTTCAACTGGCTGCATGTTGTATAAGCTTCTCCTGCCTATACTGCTTGTTTAATAATGTTTAAACAGGGGAAAAAAGGATGCTTGCCTATTTTAGTCCCATAGGTTATTATATTTCTGAAAGGCAAAATAGGAGGACTTCAAATGTAAATTTAAATAATACTGTATTGAATAACTAGTCTCTGAGACTGTAAATGCACTGACAGTGTATCCCAAGTCCTTCTTGGTTTTATCGTATCCTTTTTCAAGTGTTTGTTCTAGAGCCCTGAAAATTTGAGGGAGTCCTTACCTGACTTTATTTAGAGGCATCTGTTTGTAAACATTTGCTGCAGGACTGAAATACTTCTGGTCCTTCCCAATTTCTCCTACCGGATGAATTCTGTTAATGACTTGATTTGTCCCAGTATGCCCTAGGTATATAAACACACATGAACACAAATATTTTTGTGCACACAGATGAGCACACAAAGTTTTGCAAACAGTAAGATGGGAGTAAAACGTATTTGTTGGTGCTGATAAAGAAGTTGGACTAATAGGACTCTGGTGGGTTTTAATTTCCACTTTTAGTTCTTCAGATCAGTCAGTGATTTGAAGGTGGTGTGTACCAGCAAAATCTGTCAGCCTCACAACTCAGGAAAGGACAAAATGCCTGGTTAATTCCCTGGTGTGTCTGTGCTCTGTGCAGGGTTGGGGACCTCAGCTTTCCTGTGCTTAGCCAGAGCGGTGACCTGGGTGGGACTAGTTTGACCCCGTGGAACTGCAGGAGTATTGCCACAGCACAAAGCACAGCAGTTGGCTTATGTGCACCTGTGCTCTGAAAAGAGTAAGTTTATGTCTGCAAGGTTTTGGTCTCGTTGCTGCAGGACAGCCCTGCCAATGAAAAAGCAAAATGAAGGTTAAATCAACACCTGCTCCTTGCAGAGTCCTGTCAGTGCCATCCAGCTGGAGCTGGGTGGAGTTCCATTCCCCACCACTCTCGAGTGTTTTACACACAGTGGACAGCCCCTGTCCAAGCCATGGACTGCCAGGTTCTCCACGAGAATGTTGTGGAAAATGCCGTCAGAGGCTTTATTAAAGTCCACGTAGACACGTTACAGTCCTTTGCTCATCCATAAGGGTGGCAGCCTGCTTCAGGATTTCCAGCCTGCCTGGACTCCTCTGCCCTTCAGGAATGCCTTCCCGGGGAGTCTGCCAGCCTGTGTCCTACTGTTCTGTTGTGCTGCCCCGGGAATGTTCCCAGGGAAGGCGGGACCTGTCCCTGGGGAGCGGCTGCGGGACACCCGCGCGGGGAGCCGGGCCCGCAGGGGGCGCCAGAGCGCAGCGGCGGGCGGGGCGAGACGGGAGAGCGGGAGGGGACAGGGGAGAGACGGGAGAGCGGGGGGGGACAGACAGGGGAGAGACGGGAGAGCGGGGGGGACGCAGGGAATACGGGAGCGGGGGGAAAGACAGGGGAGAGACGAGAGGGGTCAGGGGGGGGACCGACAGGGGAGAGACGGAGAAGCGGGGGGGACAGAACAGGGGAGAACAGGGGGGAAAAAACGGGAGAGGGCGGGGGGACGGGAGAGACGGGAGCGGGGGGGGACGACAGGGGAGAGACGGGAGAGCGGGGGGGGACAGACAGGGGACAGACAGGGGAGAGACGGGAGAGCGGGGGGGGACAGGGGGGAGACGGGAGAGCGGGGGGGAGACAGGGGAGAGACGGGGGGGAGACAGAGGGGAGACGGGGGAGACAGGGGGGAGACGGGAGAGACAGGGGGGAGACGGGGGACAGGTGTGAGACAGGGGGGAGACAGGTGGGAGACAGAGGTGACAGAGGTGAGATAGGTGAGAGACAGGTGTGAGACAGGTGGTACAGATGTGAGACAGGGGAGCCAGGTGGTACAGGTGTGAGACAGGTGGGACAGATGTGAGCCAGGTGGTACAGATGTGAGACAGGTGTGAGCCAGGTGGTACAGATGTGAGCCAGGTGGTACAGATGTGAGACAGGGGAGCCAGGTGGTACAGATGTGAGACAGGTGAGACAGGGGAGCTGGGTGGTACAACTGTGAGGCTGGTGTGAGAGAGGGGACTCACAGGTGACCCAGGGGTGATCCCTGCGTGAGCTGCGGGGAGGGATGGCCCGGAGCCTGCCTATCCCGCCTTCCAGAAACAGCCTGGGGCTGCAAAAGGCCGGGCTGCACGACTGCAAGCACCAGGCTCTGCGGGATCTTTAGGGAAAGGTTATGTCCGAGTATATTTAGTGTTTGAAACTTCCAACGTTTCCGTAGCTGCATAGTATGAAGAATTCTGATGTCTTGCTGAAGAAATTCGCTGTAGCAAAGTGGAAAAGTATTAATTTTAATTGTGGTTTGTCCAGTAAATAAACCCTTTAAGCTGGTTCTCTCTGCAGAGATCTTAGTTAACATCTTGTCACTCAGTATGAGAAATTGCAAATAACTCACATGCTGTGAATGTATTTGGTATTGCCTTTTCTTTGGTGATGTGTGTGTTAGGGGGGTGGGTGTTCCCAGCAGAGGAACAAGGAGGAGTGAGTTTAGGAGGTTCAATTTTCATCTTTATCTTAACATCTGCTTTGGTACCATCTGCACTTTAGGGAGCATATCCAGCACTGTCCTTGCTCCATGTGCCTTGTGGTGGTGTTCTGTGTACTTTTCATGGGGGGGTGGTGTTATTTATACGGTGATTTATGATGTTGCCAGACATCCATTCTGAAGTTTCATTTAAAAATTTGTTTGTGGGCAGAATTTGGGTCATAGACAAAACCTTAGCAGTGACCCATCGAAGATGGAGGTGAGGGGGAATGTTATTACTTCTATGATTGTTTTCTCTTTGAATTTCTTGTTTTTAATTTGATGTGGGTCTTTTAGAAACAAACTGAATGCATGTTAGTGCAAAGAACTCTTACAGAGGTGAACTGAAGACTTGGGGCTTGGTTTAAACCTCGATCTGCACTGTCCAGCCTTCTCCAACGGGCTGGTGGGTTTCTGTATTGCTCTCTGCAAAGGAAACAGAGGAGGAAAGGTATCTCAGTGTGCCTGTATATCTATGGATATCTGTAGAGCTCTGCAGGTTGTTTATGGATAATTGACTGATATGGCACAAGCTTATGCCCTGGTCAGTTTTGGCTTACTGAGAGTTCAGTTTGATGAGGTTTTAGAAGCTTATCCTGATGTATTTGTGGGGTAAATAGATTGAGACAGGTACCAAACCCCCTCTGGTTCACTTAACAGACACTTGGCTTTGGCACGTGTTATATTAACACTTGCATTGATTGTGCCATCGTTATTCTAGAGATTTGAAAATGCAAGGTTTTCTTTTTCACGGGGCAAACCACATAGAACATACTTGTTCACAACTTCAGTCAGTTCTGAAGACATGGAATGGAATTGCTTGATTTTAATGACCCCGGAGTCAATTTAAAAATGTGATTATCCTGTGCTTCAGACAGATTCTGTTGTTAAAGCAACATCCCTTGGTAATTCCAAGCTTTCCCTGCAGTTGGGTGGCCATGTTGTGGCCGTGGTGACAGTCAGGGCCAGGCCTTGCCCTGACAGCAGGCATAGCACAAGCTCACCCTGCAGTGCAGTGCGGAGGAGCAGCACAAATCTGGGCTTCTTGCAGTCAGATGGTTTTGAAATACAGTCCATTAGTTTATTGTCCATATGGAACCGGCACTCTGGAAATGCAGAAGCAAAGAAACGAGTGGCAGCTGAGAAATTCCACTGACCCAGTTAAGTGTAATTACAAGGTTAGAACTGGGGCCAGAAGGGTTGAGCTCTGCCTGTAACGTCTCAGTGCTCAGCCCCGTCTGAACGGCATTACCTCATCTCACATCCATCCGGGAGCAGAGCTCCAAATCCCACAAGAACAGAGCCAAGTTATCCAAGGTCATCGTACGAACAGAATGTGGGGAATTCTCTTCCTGATCTCAGTTACCAGGCCATGCTGACTAGCCTGGGATGCAGCCTCACATCTGTGAGGGTCACTTTGGTTTGGGTGAAATCCGTTTGTCAGATGGTTCCTTGGCACTGCCTTTCCCACGTGTTCCATGTGTCAGGTGGGAGGGAGGGACAGGAGTGTCAGCAAGAAGGGAAGGATAAATATGCTGCAGTGCCTTGTAGAATACTGGCTTTCTGTGAGCACATGGCATCAGTTGGAACAAATGACATGCTGCTTCCAGTGATGTCATCCACAGAGTCTCAATTGCTGGTAATGCTTCTAGCCCCAAGAAATGCCTTTTCTCTTGAGTTCTTCTCAGGAAAGGGATCAGCTTTTACATTGCATGCAGCAGACTCAATCTCTATTTATTCGGTCATTTTGAAATTTTTGTGATAAAAAAACAGGTAGAAAAAAACCCCCAAGACATTGTATAGAAGTATTAGTAATTCAGAAGTATTTGAAGGTTTGGATTTTTCTTGGAGTGAGCCCCAGCAGTGTTTTTTTGTTTTTTTCATGTGCAAGTTTTTATAATGCTGTAAATAGTGACAGGGATAATGGGCTAAGTTACAGTCGAAAAATTCAAACTGGGACTGTTGTTTGGGTTTTTTAAAATCCATATTAATTTTTGTATATATAGACGTAAATATTAAGGCCACGAAATGAGGCAGAGAAATAATGTATTGAGTAAAATACGAGTGTGCAAACACAGATTTTTAGTATAGGTAACAGGTGACAACATGAGTAGAAAAATAAACCATGGAGTTTTAGAGTGCTAGCTAAAACATTTGCTTGATCTTTCTTCGATATTTTTTAGATCTTGAAATAATGCTCGTTGCCATTAACAAAACGTCATAGTTGTGAGATCAGGGTTTGGAAGAGTCTTTGTTTCATTTCAGACTTTTCTGAAAATGGTATTACATTCTGTTGTTTATTTTGTTTCCCCAGTCTCTGGCACAAGGGCTGTGTCATTTGAATGAGTTTGTCCAGCAAAGGCTTTGATTGTCACGGTGTGGATTAACAGTGGCAATTTCTTGCTCTGTGCAGTGGAGAAGTGTTGCTGAATTTCACTGATTATTTAGATGGAAATTAAAAAATAAGATTTCCTATGAAGAGTGCTGATAACACTCCAAGGACCTTTTTCCCAGAAGCTACCACAACTCTTTGGTTATTTAATATTAATAAGTAGAGTTGGGTGAGTTTTTTCTCAAATTGCACCCTGTAATTTTTAAGGGCTCAGTCAATGATCTTATTGATTTTTTTTTTAAATTTTTTTTAATATAACACTCTGGTAGATTTTTCTAAAACTTGCTGTTATTTTATAAATGTAACTGTGGAAATATTGAAAGCATTGTGAAAAGTTTTAACTACACTTCTCATGTCACTTATATATCTACTGAACATTCTCAGTAGCTTCTTCTTTCCTTGAGTGAGCTTAAATTACATTTTCATTATTTTTATCAAAATAAAATGAAGAAATAAAGTCATTTATTTCTTTGTGTTTATCTCGAAGGTAATCAATGATAAAAATACATAAGCAATACAAAAACTGCTTTTAATTCTGCAGGTGTTGTGAAGTGTATTTCTGAAATTGCTCTAGTAGATGTTGCTTTTTGGATTACTCTCTGTAGGTGTGGATTATGTGGCATTTGTCTCAAACGTTCTGCTTGCAGAGTGCAGAGAAGCCTCCCAGCTCTCAGCTTTCCGTAGCCAGAGCAGCGGAGTGCTGGAGGAAGCCCGGCCCGATTATCAGCCCGGTGCCGTTAGATCGCGGTACAGCCCGGCTCGGGGGTCAGGAGGGAAACCCGTTTGCTGGAAGGCACAGTACGGGAGAGCTGTTACGTTCTTAGCAGAAAACAGTCTCCTCGTGTGTCCTAAAGAATGAAGAGGGAGAGCATTATCTTGCAAATCAGTGTAAGGGACAGATCGTGGAACTGAATCCCTGCCTGCAGATCCTGCTCTCCGCGGGGGGTGCTCCTGCAGGACCCTGGTTTCCCGGGGCACTGGTGGCACTCGCTCACCGTGGTGTCCCAGGCACTGGGAATTGCTGCTGGCAGGGCTGGAGCCTGGCAGAGCTGCCTGTCTGCCCGGGACTGTCTGCACTGCTTTATTGATTTATTGGATTTTATGTATATAACGTTTTCGTATGGAACAGCGGCTGATAAGAGATCACAACTTCCTTTCCTGGCTGTTGCAATTTCTTCCTGACAATTCCTCCAAGGTTGCAACTTCAGGAATTTCACACAGCTGCCCCCACAGAAGGGGGGAGAAAGGGGAGGAGAAAGAATACTGAAATGTTTTATCCTCCCTCAGTGGAATATGGAATTTCCTGCATTGTTTTCTGGGTGTCCAGGGTCTGGAATAGGCAAAACTCCCATATAGTTCACTAACACATTTTGCACAAATATATTTGTGACAGAGTTTTAAAACATCATCTTTTTTTTTTTCTGCTTATCATTGCTCCCTGAAGTGTTTTTCTTTTCCCTCAGCTCTGTTCCTCATCTCAAATAATACTGATCTCCTACCTGTCTTGTCCTTCCCATTGGTTTCAAACTGACTCAGATACTTGGCAGTATTTTCCAAAGCAAGCAGCCAGTTACCATGTGCATGAATCTTTATTTATATGCACTATTTGGGAGTCAGTGCTGCCTAACTTTTAGGTAGGATTCTCCTCCTCCCTGCCAGTCTCTTAGGAGGTGCTGCAGAAGGATCACTCAGCCTTATTGCTGAGTAACAGAGGCACCCAAGTGCAACTGGCACTTCAGTCCAACGGAGAAGCCCTTCCTGGGGTGACACTGCTGGATGTGTCACGTTGGTTTGTCACAGAAAGTGGCCGTGTAGCTGTAAAGAGGTGAAATGGAGCTTATTTGGTCTGTCGGTGGTAGCTTGGTTTTATAGCCCTGCCTAGAAAGAAAGTTAGGCGTAACAGAATTGTCTGTGGCTCTGGCAGGTTTGTGCCCTTCCTAAACCTCCAGTTCCCTGCTGTTACTTGTTGCTGTAGTGTCTCTGTCTCTGGTCCTTTGCAGTTCCACACTTGGCAGGCACTGAGGCCTGGGCAGCAAAGTGGGTAACCTGGTTCTGTTCCTGGCATTGTTTTACCTGGGTGGGGAAAGAAACATCAAGTCACTTCCCTCTGCTTCCTTTCCTCCTTCCTTGTGATGCACAGAGTGATAATGACTTCCTTATACCAAGTCTGGGAATGAAATACCTGTATGTAAAGATTTCTTTATTAAAGAATTTGTACTCTTGAAAACAAAATACTTCAAAACACACAAAACCCACTCTTTGTAAAACCTTGTTTAAGCAAAAGGACACAGGGAGGGATCAGCATTCTGTATCTCTCTGGATCTTGGTAGATCTCAGAAACGTGGACACGGGCTGTCTGCTGGCAGAAGAGACAGGCAAAAGCATAAATACTAACTTGACTTACATTGCTGAAGTGGCTCATGCCTGTGGACATGACTCCTAAACAGGAATCAGAAGTCTTGCCAAAATTAGGGGGTGTCTCAATGCAATATTCAGTCAGTCCTTTCATGCTTTAATAGCAACATTGCAAAATCTCCTCTGGTCTCTCCTGGATTCCTCCAGGTTGCAGAGATCAGCCTGCTGTGGGACAGAGGACCTGCGCTGTGTTCTGCACTTGCTTAAGGCAGGCTCAGTAAAGCTCTGGGCTGGGCTCACTGTTTCCAGGCAGCAGCAGTTCACAGCCCTCTGTCCTCACCTCTTACCTTGCTCTCAAGGCCGTGTTACAGTCACATATAGGGAGATAATTGCCAGTTCACTTGGCAGATTCACGTTGGCAAGCAAGGTCCATAGTGTTCCAATGAGAAAGGAGGTGCGAAGCTGGCACACCAACACCTCTGATCAGAAGAAACAAGTAAGACAGATGAAGTTTCCATGCAAATAATGCAATGTTACCCACTTGACAGAAGTACTGAGGGCAAGATGCTGATATTGATACCTCCCACATCCTCTTTAGAGGGAAATTTTTTTAACACCTACAATAGTTAATTAACTATTTTAAAAGTACCTCTGGAAATATTAAATAGTTGGGTTTTGTGTGTTGAGGGGGTGGTGGTTGTGGGTTGTTTGTGAGGGGGAGTTGGTGGAAGTTTGCCTTCACAGAGATAGCCACTGCCTTCTCCTTACGGAGGAACAGAAGTTGTAGTTGTATCAGACCCTGAGTGACAGCCCTCCCAGGGGCAGGGACAGGCACTCTGGGATGAGGGCTTTGCCATGACAGAACATAGCTTCTGCTTTATGGCAGGGGCCTGGGGCAGAAAAATGCCATGAGATGGAAAGATTTTATCGATGTTGGTTGGAAATAACCTGTATGACTACCTATGATTTTATTGCTTGTGGGTAATATGGAAAGCCTGGTCTCCTGCCAGGAAAACTTGCATGGCACCACACAGTGTCTTTTCCTCCCAAAGCCTCATTTCTAGAGAAGTAGTATTTAATGCTGTCCTGTGACTCAGCTGGATGGGTCTGAGATTCTTCTAGAAAAGGCAGTGGGGCCTGAGGTTTGTCCTCTGCCCGTTACCTCTTCTTAGAAGTGTAATTCATGAAGTCTTACTCCTGCTGGGTTCTGGTGCTCTGGGTTATTAAAACACATCCCTTTTCCTAGAAGAGGTGTGATATGAACACAGCTGATCTCTGTGGGCTCACCCTGTCTCTCATGCTAAGGTACCAACCGAGCAGAGAAAACAAACAAAGTTTTTAATGTGTCCTTATGGAAACACAAATGGATTTTTCCCCCTGTTTTAATTTGGTGCTGATCCAGAGAGACAGTATATGATAGTTTAACAGAAAAGAAAAAAATCAGCAATTTTACTGCAATTTTAATTTTAAATTTTAAAAATTTTCATTTTGCTTTTAAGTAAAGTGAGTTAATCTGATCTGCCTCAGACAGTAAACTGCTTTCTGCTCTATTAGTATGGATTAAATACAAACTAAATGCCGTTAAATGTGTCAGAGTGGAGCAGAGGAGAAAAACTGTAATTTTCAGCTTTGTTATCAGTCCTCCTGACTTGCCTAAATTTTACTGCCTTCTGATCATGTAAATGTGTGATTGTCTGTACCAAATGTGTGGTACTCTGTACCACAAAATACTATTGGGACACAACTCAGCAGCTGTGAGTTTGAAAACAGGAG